AAGTCTCAAAGTCACGTTGGAGCCAACGCGCGGGCGGTAGCGGTTGTATTTCAGTAAAACAAACTTTTGTACAGCGATGTGACTGATAATGATGGGAAAAAAGAAGATACTGAGCATGAAAAAGAGCAGTTTACAAGTGCTACACCGTGAACCTACATAACATTCTATCACATTTAACCATCCCACTTGGTCGTACCGTCGTTGCAACCGTGGTGGCGGCGTCCTGCACGTCACCTGCACCCGGACCGCAAGAGGAGCAAGCGAGGAATGACCATTTGTAGCTCGACACCAGTTTATATACCAACCTGACTTTGGCCTTCATAGACCAGGTGCCCGGTCCAGACCGCAAGTCGCCGACTCTGCGTTGCGGTATGCAATGTCTGCCAGTTTGATTTAGATGTAGGTATTGCTGATGTTCAATCCTTGCTTACTGGGCCTCGGCTCATGAGCTTTCTTCCTGTTGTCCGCTCGTGGAAGTTGTTGTGAACACCTGTCCTCGGTGAAACTCTGTCCTCTGGTGCTTCGATAGCGTGCATACTGCATCTTCAGTGAGTAGTGAGTGGAGCCACTTGCTATCCCCCAGGACCTTCCGTAGGCATGAAAAGGCGTATAATAGTGCTTTGAACGGGGTAATAGGTGTACCGTAGACAACAGTTGGGAGGTTATTCCACTCAGGAGCTACCCGAAATGAGAAATTTTTCGCCTTATTATAGTGTGCGCTCTGGGCATGAGAATGTTCTTACCATGTACCCGTCGTGTGTTGGCTAGATCAAGGGTGAAAAACCTGTTGGCCATGCCAACATAATGCATAATTATGTATTGTGTTGACATTATTAGGTAATCCTCTCCTGAAGAATTCTCGGGTGCTTCTTCGCATACCAGCGGACTCTCTGATAGATGGGGTCAGCCGACGTAACATTCTGTTCCCTCAAGAGGGAGTTACCTAACCGTCCAGCATAGTTTTCGTTGGTGGCATATACTGCTTGGACGGATAAATGGACCTAGATCACCGGTATATGGTAAACCCAGAATCGTTAATAGCCCTTCTGAGAGCATCACCAGGACTCGACTGTATCCTAGGACACTACCGTCATTCCACCAAGGTCGCCAGATAGGCCTCATTTATACAGGCTTTGATTGCCCTCTGGCAGGACGAACGACCGAAACGGATTCCCTGTAGAGCAACTAGCAAGGGTATTCTTTTTCTATCACTGTCATATGCTGAAACATGCCACAAAAAGCTGCACCTTTCCCCTCCAGATTTTCCAGATGGAAAGTCTACCGTCACTTCTGGATTCATGCGTCAGTTACGCAATCTGCCTTCAGTGCCCACTCCTGTCCAGATCATCGGCAAAAGAAACTGTGCTACCCTTAGTCGCCGTACAGCACGATCGTGATGCACTTCATCTCATCGCTCAGAGAGGCGAAAAAGCACGACCATCCCGTACGGATAAATGAGGATTTCCATATAGACGGCCGCACTGGCCAAGCTCACAAGAAGCTCGATATTTACCGACGCTCATAAGTCAAGGCCGTTCTGTCGTAGCTTGGGAATTCCCTCGGGACGTTTTATTACTCATCTTAAGGGTATACCTCCATGGGGCCGCGTTTCCAAGACGTCAATCTCTTACTTCCCCGACTGAAAAATTCACGCATAAGGAAACAGACCATACCAAAACTTAAAGCTGGTAAAAGCAAAGGTGTCATCTTCCATGGAATGCCGCAGTTAAAATACCCATATAAGACGGGCAAGTGTTGACATGGTTGCAGCGAATAGGAATACATCCAACATCTACGAGTGAATGACATCCTCATTATCAGGGTAGCCTGCCCACCAACACCTGTTAACTGCATAGAGAATGGACCGGGCATTCTTACAGCCACAGTCCCGTCAAATGGTCACCTAAGTTCTCGCCTGTAGACCCGAGCCTCGTGCGCCTCCAACTCCGCCCTACCGCTTCGACGAATCCTTCCAACCCCAACGGCGCTTGACAAAGAACACTCATGTAGTTTGAGATGATTCTACTCAACGCGCGCCACAGTCGGCCATTTTGAGTTCCTGTGTCCAAAAAACCACTCTACTAGTCCTAACCTCCCCCAGTTGCTGTAACCTTAGCGCCCAATGAATCTACGACTGATCTCAACTGCCACCAAGACCCCATGAGTTATCATTGCTGTGATAATAATCTGACTCAAACCGGACATCCACGTCACTGAATCGCCCTTTCCAAATCTGTCGTTAGTTAGATGAGACCCACGGTCAAGAAGCGGTGTAGTTTTGTACTATCTTATTCGTCATCAACAGGAACACGCCAGTACTATAAACTGGCTCTTAATTGCCCCGCAATCGTGAGAGAACCCCTAGTAAAGAAATAGAAATTGGGGATAGGAATCTACTGAGAAGTCGTATGTGCATAGACGAAGCGATCAAAATAAAGTACCTACATCTTTAGACAACCTTGCAGTGGGCACATCTGAGCATTACGTCGAACTGAAGCGTCATCAGCAGGATTGATCTAGTGCCCTTCCCGAACCCCCTGTTATAAGCGCTGTGCCTAGCGATAAATGTATGCCATCTAAACACTGGCTAGGAACCTACAGCATGCGCGCCATGAGGGCCTGTGGTGTGCAGTGTTCTGCAAGGCTTCTAGCCACATGGACGCAGGATCATGTGGGAAGCAGCCAGGAAGGTGCGAGTATCCCACTTTGCTCAGTTTGATGTGACAGCTTTCTTTCAATTTTTGGTGTTGTGATCTGTCCTCTGTGAATCTCCGGCCAATAGTAGCTACTTTAACAGTGCCGTAGCAGTAACCTTCATGTGGTCATATTGACCTCCGAGTCCTTCTAGTTGGAAACTTGAATCCTTGAATCCAACATTAATCAAAGTTGCCTCTTAGGAGCTGTTCGCTGTCCCAATGACTGTGCAGTCATACCATAATCTGACGGTTTGTGGGCGTTCATAACTAAACGAGCTATACTGGTTGTCTGTGCGGCACCTGCAGGGCGTGTAGGCATCGGCATATTTTTAATTTACCGGACGCAAGGATGCTTGCTTGGCAGTATACTCTTCAACAGTTGCCTTTGTGGGGTTAGTCTGTCAACGTCCGTGAAGGAATCTCAGAATTGAGAAGTTGATTGTTTTCTGTTTCTCGTGTCTGATTAGTTCTGACACTGTAAAGGACAACTTTATGGAGTCTTGAGTGCACTGTTAGGGTGGTTAAAAGCTCATCATCGTGGCTGCCGGAGACTTGAATGCAAAAGTAGGCAAACTTAGTGCCTCTGAGGCTCAATAAGGTAATCGGCTTGGGTTAGTCTCGGTAAGCTGGGACAATGGCGAACGACTGCTTCGATTAAGTGCTGACTACAAGCTGTTTTTATGCAGTACCAACGTCCCAATAAAAAAATCCAGCCAACAGCCCTCCAGCGGCGGACCCCAATTGATCACATTGCCATCAGTGACTGATAGCTCAAATCGATAACTGACTACCGCTCGTTTTGGAAAACGTGTGGGTTCTGGCCATGCGTTCATCCGGAGTCGCTTGTTCGGTTTTCAGAAGGTTTACGGAGAAATCGCCTAATAACTGAGAGGCTGTCAGATACCGAATTTAGACAAATTTATAAGGACTGTTCTCCGGGCTCTTCCAAGTGCCTCACCGTCGATAAATAGATTCGCCTTCCAGGATAGGGATCGCGTGATCCCCATTGTGTGTTACTGGAGACAATGCAAGATATTACCGCCAATTGGTGTAAACGATGTCAGTTTCTGCCTAGATTTTCAGAATGAGTGTCTGGAGGTGGACGTACTTTGGGATTATTGTGGTAGGCTAGCACGAAGACCCTGGTGATATCCATGGTTGTCTATGGGTATTTCGACCGTATTCTGCATACGATGAATGTCATACCGCATTTGGCGTTGTGGTTATATTGACCAAGTCGGTTTGTTGGCTTAAGATGAGTAAGAATGGATAGACAAGAACCATGAGACTGCGAACGCTACTTGTCTTCATGTTTATTCCTGGATCTTCTGTTTCACTTGTTAGTCGCTATTCTGTGTTGTAACTTAGTGTGTATATATTTTTAAACCGTTTTTAGGCGGATGTCAGTAATGCTTACTCGGGCGTGCGCTTTCGAATCTGGAATGGCCGGATAGAGTAGCCCCCATTTGCTGGTCACGAACTCCTCAAGAGTTTTCAGGAGCCCTTATTTTTATATCTCATGACGTTGATCAGCCATATATTATGTGGGTTCCTGAGTAACTCTGATTCTGTCACGTGCCTGGTTGCTCTTACAAAGGATGAGCTTATGTGGAAGTGCGGTGTCAGCATTTTCCCTGGACAGCTTGAGCGAAGTGAGCGTTTATTATCTCCTAATTTATCCTCTTTTCAGTTGTTCTGCGTGATATTATTTTCGTTTGTTCGGTCGATATGCTGCACCAACACGGGCTCCCCGCGAAAGTCTCAAAGAGGCTGAATAATCTTCTAGGACTTAGGCGTGACTTTCCTCAAACGGGTTTTGTCGTATCTCACTTAGCTCGAGCCGAAAAGCATAAGTGGAGAACAAAGGAAATCGTCTTCTGGTGCTCTTCTTCGGAGGAATGTGAGAAGTGGACTGCCAAGCTAAATGAATCAGTGCTGAATACCAGTAAGTTTTTTCGACATTTAAGTAATAATAATAATAATTGTTCAGCTGTAATACCCTTTCAGTGCGTAGCTGCTATGCCAATCCAAGGAAGCACGAGGGCTGTGATACAACCAGGTTACATTAGCCTAGACGGGTGAAGTCAAGATGTAGCGGTTGTTTTCGAACTACGGACCTTCCGGTCAGTAAATTCGTGCTCTAGCCACTGAACCATCTCGCTCCCTGGACAAGTAGCTGGATAACTAGCTGTATTTTAAAAGCGGCGTACAAATAGTTGGAGTTTTGTGCGCGCCTTAGAGACACCGGAATGAATCCATGGCAGTTTTTGAGCTCTGTTGTTGTTTACCGTTTTTTGGAAATGCTCGGTCGGTTTCCTTTTATGTTGACATTATTGAATATTCGCGGAATGCGCTTTTCATCTTGAATGTGGATAGCTCCAATTCCAGTCTGGATGGGGCTCAACACCTGACCTGCTTAGGGTCCCCCACAGGTGCACCTAGGGGACATTCAGTCTGCGGAGAACAGTCGAAGTGCATTGGCTAGATTCATACCCAACTTTAGACGTACTGAAAATATTGGGATGAGAAGTCTAACTGCATGCAATACGAATGAAAGGGTACTATTGGAAACAGATCCGAACCATGTCCAGATCATTCCAGAGGAACAGCGCTGCTCTTGATTCCAGTTTAGTTACCTGCCATAGGGAGGCTTTCATCGAAAAATCATTATATAATCAGCCCTCAATGTAACCCGTCTTTGCGATGGTTAAGGCGCCAGGTTACGGACCGGAAGGTCCATGCTTCGAACCCAGCCGCCGCCTCTCGATTGATAAGCTCGGGCAACCTGGAAGTATCCAAGCCCTCGTGCCTACTTCTGTTGGCGTGTCAGCTAGGTATCGGAAAGGTGATACAGTTGAACGATTTCCATTTCCATTTCCTTCGCGGAACACAAAATGTGGACGGATTTTTATTAAAAACTTGCCATTTTGTCTGGTCATGTCCGCGACGGTTAAGTTGTGCGTTCCGCTACAACTAAATAAATAGCATCGTTTCTGCAGGCTTGTGCTATTTATCCTTCTCAGCGAGCATAAAAGTAAAGGGATTCTATTTGCAAGTAAAGCTTTTTCGAAAATGGTTGTATCAAAAATTGTTGGTTCCGGATACCTTGTCTCCATTATAACTATGTAAACCAACATAAACAAGTTTAAATCTATGCTCTTCAATCACCTTGAATGGGATTGTGGGTTGGTTGGAAAAGTAGAGAATAGCAGAAGATCTCGTTTACCATGTGGGATCAATCGCTCCACCCATTCACGAGCGGGCATTTCACTGAGTTTTGGTGGTATCCTTCCTGTTGATATTATTTCACACTTGCTATTTTCTGACCTGTAGCCAAACAGAAGTGATCCAAAATTACCCATATTTTTCCTTTGCATTACTGCAATCCGTTTCTATAACCACAAGTTGTCAGACAGTTGCGGTCCTCCATTCTATTCTTCGCGGAGTAATCGTGTCCCTGAGCCTGAATGAATAATCTACTGAATCTCCTTTCTATCCGTCGAGTCCTACTCTTCTGGAAAGGCGACACCGCTTCTAGCAGTCAAAAGTGCTGGTTTTTCCTCACATAAAAGCTGCTTTTGAGTCTAGATAGTCAGCCATTATGGCAGTGCCTGTGGAGCAAAGTTGCTCCCAGAAATCCTTAGCCCTTTTTAAAGCTCTTTACGTCAAATCCCGTGGACGCGTGAAGGACTATGGGAAGCTCTCTCATGGTTGATGTTAGCCAGTGCTGTCCTCTTCCACCTTTCCTCTTCAACTTCGTCGTTAGTTTGCTCATGGGAGACTCACTCTTTGCCTCTAATTTCTATGAGGTTGAAATGTTCTCAGGTCGCTCGCTGAAGGTGTTGAGTACGCAGACGACGTAGCTCTTCTTCAATCTGACACTTTTGCAATGAGGACGATCTTAAATAACATAAACAGTTCTGCTTCATATTTAGGCATGCGCCTCACACCCGCAAAGTGTAGTGTGGTGCTACAAGTCGGCACGAGCTGTACCCCTAACCTCATTCATGTCGATGGACCGACTGAGGTAGTAGTGCAGCTGTATCAGTCTAGGTGGTCTAGCCAAAGACGAAATTTCCGTCTGGACTGCGAAGATCACAGCAGCTTTTGTGAACCTGCATCATGCATGGCGCTATCACCTTGTCGTGGTGCTCTGGCTTCTGTACCGCAATGACTATGCAGGCTATACTGGCTGGAACTCAGTTTCTAAAGCTTCGACCATGTCAGGGAGGCCAAGGGGGAGCAGTCCGATGAACGGCGAGTCTCCGCACTACGAGCAATCATATTGCGAGGTCTGATGGTATACAGGTAAAGTTGTACTGTCCCTTGAAGTAGGAGTGTGAAGGTGGTAAGGTGTTTCCCCCAAGTGACCAGCATATCCATATTTATGGAAGCAGCGATGCTGCCTTCCTCCGAGGAAGGAAGGGTTAGGAAAGTTCAGCCCCGAATGCCGTACACTGATCGCTTAGTGGTTGACAGTGACCGCCGGCGCGCTATTCAATACGATCGAAATATTTTTTTAACACCAAAGAGTCCTGTGCTGCTGAAAAGCACTTGCTGTGTACAGCTGTACTAGAATTGAGACAGTAATGCCTGCGTCCTCGGGCCAGACCGACCGCATACAGCCTAGTGAGTCAAACTATTGAGTCATTGGCTCCGGGAAGGGTCTCCCAAGAAAACCCTAGCAACCGCTGTCTCGCGGTCCAGACTTTTGAGTCAGATGCTAAGGGCAAGGTCCCCGAACAAAACCCTAATCCCCCCGCTGCCTTGTTGGCCAGACATTTTAGTCAAATTCTCAAGGTAGGATGTCTCAGCCAAACCCCCTTCTTCGGCTTGGGCAACCGGGGAGTATCATTCGCCCTTTCAGCGCCTCGCTCATCCGTCTTCTACACCTCTACTCACCCGTCGAATGATACAGTGCCATCAACCCATCTGTCAGTCCCATAGGCACTTTTTCATGTCTAAACCGTTGTCCAGAAAAATAAGCCAAAATCATCATCATTGTCAGCTGTAATGACCGTGTGCTTGTCGTACAGTGGCTGTAGCTGACAGTTTTCCTTCCAACGATGATTCGTAATTGTCAGCTGTAATGACTGTGTGCTTGTCGTACAGTGCCTGTAGCTGACAGTTTTCCTTCCAACGATGATTCGTGGAGAGGGGTAGGTAGCTGCACATTGGAAGCATGAACTGATAAATTAGTGCCTAAATACAGCACTGTAGGTAGGCTGTTAAGTGGAGGGATTGGGAAGGGAGCGATGCATCGAAGGCAATAGCTTGGATGTATGAGCGCCATTGAGGGCGCGACTGGGCCATGTCTGACAATGTCTCCAACCATTGATATGGCCCGTCTCGGGGTCCCCATCCAGGATGACGGCAGTGACCAGCGCATCTGAGCTTACTGGCAATGACTTTTATACTTCACTGCCAAGTCATTGACCACCTCTGGTTCTCTTCCACCCTTCACGCGGTTGTGCTAAAAGAGCCCTTCGAGGCAGTCGGCCGACTGGCATACGCAGCACGTGACCAAGGCAGCGCAACCTATGCAATGTGATCAGTTCATCTATCGAGGGTGAGTTATTTCTCCCGAATGTCATTCGATGAACTTCAGCATTGCTGGTCCGGTGTTCCCACCAGGTTCGAGCAGTGCTCCGAAGACATCGATGGTCAATCACTGAAAGTCTTTTGACGTCCTCGGCACGCAGCGGCCAGGTTTCTGATTCGTACAGTAATATGGAGCGCACCGCAGTATTGTAAACTCGACCCCTGAAAGAGAAGCTGACGTCACGCCTACGCTACAGGTGACGTAGGTTTAGAAAAGCTTCTCTGGCCTTCCCAATCCGGATGAAAATATCATCTTTCGCGAGACCACCGGGACTGATACAGCTGCCCAGGTAAATAAATTTGTCTACTGCCTCAATCGACTCANGCGGGGTCAGATCGCAGAAGCGATATGTCGTCTGCGTACTCGATATCTGTGAGCGGAGGCCCAGGGAGCACTTCGACCCCACAGGCATTAGAGGCTGGTAGTGAGTCTTCCATGATAGCATCAATGACGAAGTTGAAGAGGAAAGGTGAGAGAGGACAGCCCTGTCGGACACCACTTGATGTGGTGAACTCAGGAGAGAGCTTCCCGTAGACCTTTACACGGCCGCGGGAGTTGGCGTACAGCGCCTTAATGAGGGTCAAGAATTTATGGGGGACACCTTTGCTCCACAGACACTGCCATAGTGCTTGGCGGTCCACAGAGTCAAAGGCAGCTTCCAGATCAAGAAAAACAACCATTGTTGGTTGCTGGAAGCAGTGTCGCTGTTCCAGAATCTGTCGGAGGGTGAAGATATGGTCGATGCAACCTCTTGCAGGACGGAACCTAGCTTGGTTTTCACGGATCTGTCTCTCCCTTTGTTCAGTCAACTTTCGAAGGATAAGGCCTATAAATCAGACACCTGGTTCCTTTTTTTGTAGAGGAGAGCCGTCTCCCGAACAGCTTGTGGTCTTTGTCCATAAACGATCGCTATAGGAGGTTGCTCATCTGCTGAGGAAGAATATGCTTGCCTGAAAAACGGTCCCTCTGATGATGATCCTTATATCAGGAACCTTGCACTGTGGATCGCCCTTCTTTGCAGTGAAGGTTTTGGGGGTTGAAATGTTAAATTTAGGTTTTCGTCTGAAGTTGCACATCCTTCACGAAGGCTGTAATTCACAAGGACAATGACACTCAGCTTGATTCACGCGTCTTCGTGACTCAATGGTCAATACCATATTTAATCAGCCTTATGCCACTTTAGTCACTGGGTCGTTGAGATTAAAACAATTGTGGTGGTTTATTCCATAAAAGTCGATCCATTCGTGTGAGTTTACACCAACTGCCGTTTCCATTCAAGCCTTGAGCCTAGGGCTCCATTTTATAAACGTGATAATTTTTGTATCTGGTATTACTTCAGCCTACGTGCACCTGTGAACTGCTCAAGTACCAAAAACTTCACATCATCGCATATTACCGTCAGCCGGATCTCCTTAGTTGCTTACAACAACAATAAGTTTGAGAGCAGTCGACCACTACCGAAGCGCCCATTTACTGAATCACTTTCCTGGAAATCCTTGCTTTAAACGTGTCGCTCTTTCACCCAAGGTGGTGAAAAGTAGCATCCCATCTCTCACATTTTCGTCCCACTCTCGAGCCTCGATCCGTTGCTTAAATTTACGTGAGAATCCCAGTGCACTAATTATATCTCCACTTGAAACGTATACCTGAAGCCAGCGCCCTAATTATCGGAATGTAGGTTGTACCGCATTCATCATGCAGCTGCTGGCTTCAGTAAGACTGGTGTCCAGCGTCACCAGTTTCGACGCAAGTTTGAGACTATGAGAGATATGAGACTGGTGTCCAGCCTCACCACTTTCGACGCAAGTTTGAGACTATGAGAGATGATTTATACCAGATACACTTGTACCTGTATGGCTTTTTTACGTTATATCGGGTGATTTGGCAGCAACAAACATGCGGTCGGCCAAAATCCACAGTTTTTCTCGACTACAAAACGACTACTTTATCACTTTGACACTTGTCTTCTCCGGTTTGATTACTCTAAATGCGCTCAGATATCCTAGTCGATATCTTTTCAGCTCAGACAATATTAGCTGGTTGTATCATTCCCGCACTAATCTGGTTCGTGATCGGAGTGAGCCTGAGTAGCTAGAGCAGCCGATAAATTTGGTCAGGCTAGGATGATTGTGGTCCGTACTGTATGTACCAAAACAAACGCCTACCAAAGGAAGTCATGCTCTTCACTCCAAACCTTTGTAAGTGGAGGGTTCGCCGGAGACAGGCCCTGATCTAGCAACCCAAACTGAAGGGTACCACTGTTATGCTGAACGTTGTGAAAACTGGTTGGTTTTCACTAGATTCTTCTTGCACCTGAACACAGATCATGACATGTAACTGGTTTAAATGGCAAACAGGCCGGATTGTAATGTTAAGGTATATCTATCTTTGTATGTTTTGGGTGGATGCTCTGTCAATTCTGCTTACATCATCTTATATCCCTACGATAATTGAATGTGTTTATTTGAAAGAATTTGGAAGTTGTAGGCGAGTTGTGGCCTTTTCCCCTGGGCGCCTAAGGATTAGTACGTAGAAGCAACAGCTTCTAATACTGGGGGCGAGACGGCCCAAGTGGTTAGAGCACGAATTTACTGACCGGAAGTTCCGTGGTTCGAACCCAACCTCTGCTTCTCGACTTCCCCTGTCTAGGCTTGGGCAACCTGGCAGTATCCCAGCCCTCATGCATCCTTTGGGTGGCATGGCAGCTAGGCACCGAAAGGGTGCTACAGCTGAACGATTTTTTTCTAATACTGGTGCCCATGATAGTGATTACAACTATAACAATGGCCACGGAAAACCAGTTTGTGCTTTGCTTTTTCTATGGGGTCACTGTAAATGTGACCTTCATGTGGCCCGTATTATACGCACTGCGGTGATATGCTGGTAGAGTATGATACACTAATGTCGTTCGTAATCAGTGTGTGGCTTCCACTCTTGTCAGGTCCCAGTTTTCGCCTGCAGTACCGTACCCTCCATACCATTTGCTCTTCCCCCTGCTGTCCAACGTCCCGGTATGATCTTCCCTTCCAGAAGGACAACGTAGCTGTACATGGCACTCACACTTGTTATGCAATTGGTCCATCTATTGTGACGTCACCTCCCTAGCATTCAACTGGCTGTTCCGAGGTCGTATCGAAGAGTCAGTGCCCTAGTGTAATAGTTGTATAATAATTGCCATGACAGTCTGTTCTTTATATCTTTCATCGCAGATCCTTTGCGACCACGCCATCTGTTGGTTTTTGTGAATCCCAACTCTGGACACCGGAGAGCGGTACAGACGTACGAGGGAACAGTCCGACCGCTGTTTGAACTTGCGCGCATTAAAACTCATGTTATAGGTGAGAAAACCCTGTCTAACCTTGTCATTGTCTTCTACTGAATATTACTACTCGGTAGTTTGCTTATCAGTGTATTCAATAGGTCTGTGTTGAAGATGCCCGATGAATGAATCGCTCTCTACCCGCCTTAGTTGTCTATTTGTTTAGCGAGTGTGGACCTCAAATCAACAGGCTACCGATGTATTGTCCCCCCCCTACAAAAATGAATTTTTTCACGACAAAATGAATTTACTTGGTAAGATTGTAGCGTTGTTTTGATGTTCATGATGATGCTGATGATGATTTGATGTATCCAGTTTGCCACTGAGTTTGCATGATGTAGCAGGGGGCTTGCTTTTTGCTTCTTTTCTGTACGCAAGAGGTAACCTATCAGGAGAGGCAGACATCTGCATGCAGTTGTGCTAGACTCCAGCTATGGTATCAGTCTGTGAAAACCTTGATAAAAGTGTTGGTTTTTCTTGCACGTACCAATCCGTTGTGTGTGCGTTATCTATCCGATATTAGTGATGATGATTTTAACCCGATTCCATATAGTGTTCGCACAATTTTCCAATTTTTTTTTCTCAGTTTCGTGCCAAAATTCTATATCCAAGTGTGATGTGACAATCACACGGGGCGACGTACTTCTGTGACAGATACCAGGGAGTCCTACGACAGCAGCGGTTGTCCTGTACATCTTATTATGTTATTCTGTACTCATTTATTGTCTCCCTAATTTCAAGTGCGCTGGTGTCTCGTCGCATTGGTATCACGTGGCATTTTGCATTAGTTTTCAGTGTTGATGACGAATGTTATCGATTGTGCTTTTTTCTGCTCAGATCTTCAAGATTGGAACGGCGGAAAAAAGGCGAGAAAGCAAGCACCTTGGATGCGACTAAGGTCGCGGTGTTTCACTTTGAGTTAAAACATTATAGAACTCCCAACCTGCTCCCAGAGCGTGGTCTTTCGGTTGAAATTCTGCGTTAATTTTCGGCTTATTCAGGTTGCATGGGGCTTCGTGACTTTCTAACAACCGATGTTGATATGAAAGTGCGCTCTCAATTTCGTCTTAATCGATCGAATCATTTATGCACTACCTGGAGCCTCAATGTTCCGAACTGTATTGTGTGGTCGAGTGGAAGGTGCGAACTCAAGGATTTGGGGTCGTCAGCATGAGAATGCTTGAGTAGTCTTTTGTTGATTGCACCAGTTTTCCGTTGTCTCATCTTAAATCGAGTCTGCAGGACGAGACATTCCGTTCCTGCTCTGTTTCTGGTGAGCGAGTCTCGCCACAGGACAGCATGGCTCGTGTATAATCAACCGTTCCATTTTTCCACCCCAATAGTTACAACCCATCGAGGACACGTCACCGAATATCTTCTGGAGAATAAACTCGATAACTACGACGGGTTAGTGTCTCTCCTGTATGTTAACATATTTCCAGCTTTTTGGCCTGTAGTCTGGACGAGGTATGAATATTTTTGTGGCTGTTCGCTTTTGGTTAATAAATGGAATGGTTGATTCATTGTTCCATTCTTGTCACAGTTACTAAGCGTTTTTAAAATGATATTCAAGCTTTGTTTTATGGGACCCAGGTGGTTACCCGTGCGTACGGCTGAGACTCCTATCGAAAACAGCACATGACCTTTCTCACTTTCCCAGTTGTAATTATACTGTCATTTCTTCGATTGAGTATTTAAAACTGTTTACTTCCTGGTTCCTGCTTTGAGAGAGAGAGAGCGATATGGATGCCTCTGTATGGAAGGCCAGAAGCATAGCTTCACTTATTCTCAGAAAGAATTCTCCCGAGTACTTAGTGTTGAGGGTTTTTTCCATACCGTTTAACGGCAAAGACACATTGAAGCTGGCTGGTTTCCCTTGGAGCATGTTTAGTAGGGCTCTATCTGCATGGTAGCGTTTTCATGTGTTCCTCTGATTCGTCTGATTTCATCTCTAAGTACGCTCTAAATTTAGTCTCCAGCCTCTGCCCCTAATCTATTTGGTTTATTTGTTCAGTAATAAGGGAGAAACATTTCCTGGATAACAAAATCTATTCCTGGGGGTGTTGTTGACAGGGTCATCTCTATTACGTTACCATTTTCTCCACTTTCATCGCAACATCGATTAGTTCAGAGGCTTTCGTGAAAAAAGTCCCGTTGCTCCACTGAAGCCTTCCACAGAAAGGAGATTCAGACCTGCGCCGGACATGAACGGGCGCCATATTATGTTCGAGTTAACCGCCACGAAAATTCGGATTGGTATAAAAGCAAACATCAGTTGCTTGTTTGTAGTGGTGAATAAGATTTCCTCTGAGTCTGTCAGTTTTTTCACCACCAATCAGGGTGGTATCGTCATTTAGTCCGCCACTCACTTATTCAGTCGTATTGACCCATGGTTGTTCCATTTTCTACGTTATCGGTGTGTGCCGCGGTTCGGTAGGGCGTCAGAGTGTAGCTGTTGAACGGTGTGACAAAACTCAGAGAACCGTAAATTTGGTACTGTTTACAGGCGTCTACCTTCCCCTGCACGAGACTTCGATTTTTCTGACTTTTATTCTATATACCATTGATTCTAAAGCGACCCGCGTCGTGTTATGGTCTTCTTTGTCCTACTTTCTGCTTTCAGTGTCATTTGTGTTGGTGGCGATGGTTTTCTGGCAGAGGCTGTGCAAGGAGTACTTTTGTGTGAACGAATCAAGGCCAACTTACCGCTTCACTCTGAGCATCGCCCAGGGACTGTGGAGGTCCCATCAGCCATGCGGTTGGGTATCATACCAGCAGGTACATAGCTTATGACATTATTTCCTGTTCACTTTTCATTTGGCACGTCAAAAATATGCCACTAGACGCCTGTTTCCAATCTTTGGGCTTCTACCGTTCACGTGTTAACCCAATCTGCGTAATGTTTGAAACCCTGTTACGTAAATCTTGTTACCCGTCATTGGGCGTTTGCTACTATTTGTGGGGTGTCAGCTGATGAGTAGTTATTCACGACTAATCTCTGAAGAAGTTCATCTCCCTATATACGACCTGGGAAGGTTGCCAGAGGTATATAACCCTACCCTATTCCAGGTACTGGTTGAATAAGAAATCAGGATATTAACGCGCGATTCAGTCCACCGTACCAACATATCTTGTGTTCTACTTATGTCTGAAGTGCAACGGAAACCCAGTTTCTCGAGAAAAATAGGACCAAAGGTTCGTCATTGTCGGGGGCGAGATGGTTCAAGTGGTTGGAACGCGAATTTACTGACGGGAAGGCCCGTGGTTTGAACCCGACCTCCGCCTCTCGACTTCCCCTGTCTAGGCGTGGGCAACCTGGCAGTATCCCAGCCCTCGTGCTTCCTTCAAGATGCGTGGCAGCTAGGCACCGGAAGGGTGTTGCAGCTGAATGATTACTTATTACTCGTCATTGTCTAAGAAAGCCGTGAAACCATGAATGATGGCAGCGCGAATTTCGGTGAAAGCCAAAATCAGCTGGATCTTGGACTCTTCGATGGTCAGCATGTGTTCTGTTGGGACCTGTTGGAAACTACACTTCTTGTGATTGTTGGTTGGGTTTTTTTAGGTTCGGTTCCTTGGACTAGTGGAGTCACGTGATGTGACACCATCTGACTGAGTGACCCTGAGTTCGACAATCAACAATGCACAATCGATTCTCCCACTTTGAATTGATCAGAACTACGGACGGAGTTCTGTCAAGGGCTCACTTCCGAAGACGTTGGGTTGATTGGCCTTAATCGAATTCCGAACATGGAGAAAAACGAATTAGTCTGTTACGTTTGGGCGGAGTATGCGTTAAATGTTCTACCCTCTGAGTTGTCGCACCTACTAGACACCCCCAGAGTGCAGAGTGTTGCTGCCAAAGCACGGTGTAATGTGCATATAACTCGCCGTGTTCTCAACAAACGACATCAGACTTCACAGTGGATCAGATACTCAATTGTCCGCATAACAGGACCGGATGACCAAGCAATCAACCAGTGCAACCGCTCGCTGGAACGGGCAGTTCCGCTCTATCAGAAACGGAAGGAATATACCAGGCGTGCTCCAGTTACACTTTACTCTAGAAATCTGGAAGCCAGAGGTGATTTCCGGCCAAAAACTGTGGATGTTGTGTTTCGGAAAAAATGTTCATCAAGCAGATGGGCCAACAGTAGAATTGCTTCCACTCGTAACGTTGGTCTGTTCCGAGGTAAGCAGAATTCACTGACCACAGACCTCAACACTCAGATACCAACATCATTTACCAGTGTGCCTCTCTCACCAACCATTCGAACGAACTTGAATGCACTGGACGACAGTCAATATGAAAATATCGCTGACATGCCCAGCCATCCTTTGCCCACACCCGCCTTAATCTCCTCCTCACCTGCGTGCCACTCCGTGAAACAGGCAACTGAGGAGAATAACAAAGCATCGTTGGGAACAGTTCATTCGGTGAATTCGTCAAAATGTCCGGACGACCCCATTACTTCAGTCGAACCCAGCCACGCCTCTTATACCAAGGCGATAGGTAAATATAGCAATGTCCGGATTCAGGGTCATAGGGCAGGTGGCCATTTTGATGCGCGTATTCGTCAGAGACCAGGAAATGTTCGGACGACTCCATTACTTCGGTCGAACCCAGCCACGCCTCCTATACCAAGGCGATAGGTAAATATAACAATGTCCGGATTCAGGGTCACAGGGCAGGTGGCAATTTTGATGCGCGTATTCGTCAGAGACCAGCGACATTTTGCGAGATTATAGAGGTAAAACCAACTAACAATGAAGGAACAGGACCTGTGTGGTTGCCGTCGAGTGCCGAACTTCCTGAGGTTGTGAATGTTTCACCCACTCCTGATTTACCTATGGTGATTTCCGACTTTAGGAGTTCTAAGGATGATGTCTCTCTCGAGAAACTGTTCACCCCACAAGTGACTAATTTCTCCACCACTCTCAATGGACGGCTTCCTTTAGACAATTTGGCTCAGGACTTCCAGCTTGGTGGTACGTCCTCATTTGGACCGACTACCGAACAGGCACGTGTGGTGACAGAACAGAGCGAGATGGAAGCGCCTATTGCTTCAGTAAAGCAGCAGCATCTGGAATTGTCTGCTTGTGTTGCAAATGATCTTTCGATCACACAGGAGATAAAACTCGACTGCACGACGACTAGTCCTACTGGCATTACTAGGAAAGTGGGGCACCCGTTTGAGGTGAATGAGACAACAGATATGCTTTCCTCAAGAAGTGATTTGAATGATGAGGCAGTTGGTGTGAGTACAACCACTCAGTTTTGTGTGACGACTGTGAGTCAACGTTCTGACAGCTCCTATGTTGATGCACCGATATCGGGGCACTTTAAAGGGGACAGACTGATTGATACTGATGATGTGGACTGTGGAACTGATGAAATTCTTCGGATAATAAACAACGGTGGTAATGCGGAGCATGCCAGCTGCAGTGGGACAACTACGAAGTCCAAGTCTCTGGTCGTTAACACCTCACAAAAGCAAGGGTCTTGCTTACAACATTTTATGTGGAAGCACCCGGAGGAAGCGGCCGTTATCCAAAGCCTTAATGAGGTGATTGACGTTTCACAACCAATGTCTCACGCAGAAACCACACGCAACTTCAGGATTTCGAATGAGTCTGATAACCCAGTATCGCGAAATGAATTATCTTCACCAACTGCCGTCCACAAATCAGAGGAAACTCCTGGAGTTAGGGGAGCGGCCGCGTTCGACGCTCCTACGTCCCCTCCATTAGCTGTTGGTAATCCGAGTTCAGAGATATTGAACCCAGGGGGAAGGCCAGACTTCACTAATCTGCGAGCATCTCCCCGAGTACCCTGTGAGCCACCTTTGAGCAACCCACATTCGTCTTTAGCGGGTGATGGTAACAGGTCCAAATCACCTTCCGGAACACAAACCACACGCCCTTTGTCATCATTGACTAGTATCAGTTCTTATTTAGGACTTCAGCTGAATCGGGAAACCGGAGGTTTGGAGCTTTCGTTTGGAGTCAGTGGAACTCCGTTTCCGGCAGCTGATCTCAGGGGAGAGACCCCCGCATTCGATCCATCCTTCTCTGCCCAGTGGAATGTCAAGCTAGAGAGAAATATGCTGTTTGGACTTATCGGTAGGATGCCATCAACTGTTCCCCATTAAGCTTGTTAACAATGGTTGACAACTCCTGTGATTTGAGACCTCTTGTTAGGAAAGAAACCTTCACTCCACTTGGGTATGGTGCCTCTCCAGCAAGTTTTTTGAACATTATTTTCGGTTTTTCTCTATTACATGATTTCGTGACGTCCACATCTTGCCTCTTTTGCGCACACTTGTTGAACTTGATTTTGTCGTGGCCAACTGCGTTTGTCATGCATTATTTTTTATCTCTGTCCGTCTCTGTGCATTTATATTTGTGTGCCATTGTGTCCGCTACGTTTCCAATATCAACATTTCGCTGGCGGTTTCATGTCTGTTTCATTCTTGTGAGATATTCACGCGAACTGATGTATGACTGAACATTAGATTGCTGAGGGCAACGCACTGCCATTTTTGAGGCTCATCAGGTAGGCAAAGTTTCCGAGCTTCCGCCAACCTTGTGTTTCAGTTGAGCACGCATTTGTTTCACGCATTTGTTGAACTACTTTCATTTGCAAACTACCCGGGGAGTTAACGGGAGATTCATTTGATTCTCTCGAAGACCACCTCTACCTGATGAACCCCAAGTCGATCAGAACCGGTCGTGGGGTGTCGAATAGTGTTTTTTAGAAACCTTGTGAGTGTTGTGTTGTAGCCATAATATATACTACGTGATGTCAAATATCGTATCAGCTGACAAATAAGGCGAAATTTGTACGTGATATTTACTGTCTGCTCATAGTCACCACCCTTGGAGTGAACAACTATTCTGTTTCATACTGTTTAGGCCATATTGTTACACTTGTATATATATTATTTTTTAGCGGTCAAAACGGCATATTCTCTTCAGACTAGGTACCTAGCAGTCCATTTTTTGCGTCACATTCTGCCGTTTCTCTCAGGATACGTAAGCGGAGGGTTCAGAGGGCAGCCTAAACGGTTTCATTAGAGGACTATGAACCATCACCAACCAAACCACTCCCATCAGTCCCAAATATCGCTTGATTGACTATTTTCCACATTGGTGTAACAACTGATTACTCTGTGCTTAGCGGCGAGGGTGACACGGATGTATGGGTTGCTTGCATCACCTCAGCGGTTCTGACAAGGAAGCATCAAAATGACTCTGACGGGTTCGCACTTTTGCGGCACTACCGCCTCAAAATCCTGGTTGTGATATGGTGACACCAACGAGTATTCGATTAGTCAATCAAGAAACCGGTGTTTGGTGGGTTATTAGATACTTTGTTCGTGGTTTGCTTTCAACACTACAGTCTGCGGTGCCATGTTCGTAGTACGTCTTACGCCGAAATATCGTATACTGCAAAGAGCGACCACTCCGTGCCAAATTCAAAGTGACACAAGCCAAAAGATGGGAAGATGTAAGATGTAAGATGTAAGAAGATGTGGAACGTTACGGGAAGTCGGTGCTACCAGTCTTCCAGGATATAGCTCGCGTAATCCTTTCATCGTTTGGCTGGTTGAATCATATGAATGACCGCAAGCTGCTGTCTGAAGCCATCTTGCTGCGAGTTTCAGATGTGTAAAAAGTCGTTCAACTATAACACATTTTCGGTGCCTAACCGCCACGCACAAGGGCTGGGATACTGTCAGGTTGCCCAAGCCTAGACAGGGGAACTCGAGAGGCGG